CTAGAGCGTCTACTAAACCGTTCTCAAAAAGCGCACCTTGCCCTGATAGACCTCCCTTGTTAGCCTAACCCTCTCCTTACCCGTCTACATACTGGGCGAGTTTAACAGCACGAGGCTTCCGGCCTAGCTCCAAGGCACTGATATGCCACACATCACGACATAATGTCGATGGGTGAGGTACTGCTCTCAGTAGAGCGGGCCGCCATAAGTAAATTTAATGAAATTGCAAATTTTTTAGAAGTACCATCAAAATCACAAACTTCCGCCAAAACCATTGGGGGTTACTGTACCTGCGTTTGTGTCAGAAACATTCCACACACAAGGTTTCAACTACATTGAGAATCTCATTGGAAATTTGAGCACTACGGTAATCACTTTCATTCAGTCAAAACTTTGAAACGCTTGATTTTCTCTGTTCATTGAAAACGTAAACAAAAATAGCAAAAAATCATCGTTAAAAAATTTGGCGACAATAAAAAATAGAACATTAAAAAATGGAATGAAGCCTTACCTCAGAAATCGACATCGATCTGGTGCGGCGTATAATCGTAACAAATATTCTATGGTAAATATGATAACGCAAGCAGTATCTAATACGAAAAACTGAAAACAGTCACTTATCGATTAGCTCGGCGATTAATTGGAAAACTATAAACGACGCTACACTAACTTGTCTCTCATAGGCGTCTCCACAGGAGGTAGGAGTGTCATTTACATACCTGAAATAAACCAGTGATATTGTTCATACAAAAAATGATGAAATAAAAGTCTAATTATTGTTATTGATTGACTATTGACAAATTGATCGAATCCAACTAACCAGCATGGAATGGTCTCTATTATATTACATAATACAGAAACAGCAATGAAAAAACCCGTGACATAATAAAAAACAAGTGCGACCGACGAGGTGTGTGGGTTTTCGAACGCCGCCCACATCTTCTGCTGAAAATCGATAAACTTCAATTTGAAAATCAATAAATTTGTGTGTCAAATTCTTAAAATGAATATGATCTCGGAGTTCGACTAAATTCGCTCTCATTTCTCCGCTTATAATATGCATTATATATGTATTGATCAGAAACTAATGATTCGGGTGTGTGTTGGCAGGAGTCCACCGCGCGACGAACGCGAAATCGCGCGTGCAGCAACTGCTATAAGAAGTATCGTATCGATCGCCTGTGCCCCTGTGCGTTCATCGCGTGGTGGCCCTCCTTTCCGATTCATCTAGGAATCAAGACTAGCACCAGACCAGAGTTCCCCCTTCACACAAGTTTTTTTTGCATCCCAAACCGATTTACCCGCTACATGAAAAACGAGAAGAGCGTCGGGTGCAGACCACACACCACAAGTTACGACGTCCGAGAAAAAGATCAGAAAGCCCTAATATTCTTGAACGTCGTGACATGTTGGTGTGTCTATACACGCTCACTCGGCCTTGCTGAAATAGGGGACGATCAACCCCCTTAACTTCTGAAGATCTGATTGACTTGGTCCGGCATCGATGCTCTGATCGCTCGCGCGAAGAAGGCGTTCTTGATTTCACCGTTCTTATCCTTATAGTCCTCGTAGCAAACAAATACTTATCAAATCTGGCATGATGCCAAAAAATGACAACTCCTCGTCGTACGCGACAAGGCATTCATGTCGGGGATTCCTGAAAATGGCTGTCTTGAACAAGATTCAATACTAAGATCAAGATGAGCACAGGTCGGTAGCTATGTCCGAATCAAAGCCTATACATGCAAAGAGTATTGACACACCGCTCGCGGTGCGATCCGGGCGCGCGTCTTTGATGTCCAGTTCCAGTGCAGTTTTCTGCGAGAATGTACTTACGAAACTGCCGATAATTCAGTAATTGAACTCACATGTAGCTTTCCAGTTCGATAGAATGTTAGGATATGTCGGAAAATGTCCGGGTCACGATCGAAAAAATATTCTCCGGTGTCCTCATCATAAAAATTCCTTAAATTGGTTTTGATTAAATGATACTACAACGGAATGCCAGGCACAACGTGGCTATTCCAAGATTGATGAAATACATATCTCTGGGAGCCTCGTGCCTATACAAATATGAAATATGATCGATGACCCTTTCAATCATAAATATCGGTATTTATGGTAATGCCTGATTATGAAGCTCCTAGATCCAGAGGTATAGTAAGTACCCGCTAGCTGAAATCCAGCAGTTACCAGCTAAATAAAACTTCCGATCAAAATCAAATATTCTCCCTCCTCCTCTCCCAAAGCATTTTGCCAATTTTCTGATTTGACTCCCGTTTTGATTAGTAGCTTTCAACTACACTGTTCACTAATAACTTCGATCGATTTATAGCAGAGAAAAGGACAAGGAAAGGAAAGGGAAGGAAAAGAAGGAACCTTTTCATTGGATCCTAGAAGTGTCTCGGGAAACTTTTCCAACGTATTTTTCCACGTCTCGAATTTTCTTCCCGAGATATTGATCGATAACTTCTCATCGGATACGTGATCAACGGCAAGATCCTTCGCCTGAAAATGCTTGAGATTACTTGGTTCAAATTGAGACACTCATAAGTAATTAGCACAACTCTTAAGCAATAAAAAATTCATAAAAAAATGGGAGACAAATATTTGCGGCACGGTGTTTAACAAGCGACAGTAACTACCCTCCCTTTCAAAAGCGAGAAGAGCGTCGGGTGCAGACCATACACCACAAGTGACGACGGCCTCCAAGTAAATCTGGTTAGTAGTGGTTCATAGTGATAGCTGATTTTTGGTAAATGATAGTTGTAATTAGTGACAACTGATAGAATACAACTGCAACAGGCTAATCATTTCATTGGCAGAAAACATTACATTTTGTGGAGGCCGTCGTCAC